TAACACTATCCGTTTTTAATTAAAAAACGAAAAACCTGTCCGTTTTGTTTTTTTCCATTTTTGAACCAACCATAGACACTGAGGGCGGGTAGCTGCCAAGACAACCTCCAAGAAAGCAAGCCTTGGAACTTTCCAGAAGGTCAGTTCTCGCGTTCATCTGGTCGCGAATTTCTTGTCTCCGGTCTTGATTTTGTTCTTCGTTCATCGGTTTCTTAATTCTCACCGCCGCATTGTGTCGGTTCTTGTCTGAGCTTTTCTGTTTCGATTTCAGATTATGTTTCTTCCATATGAAATATGTTGTTTTTCATGTTTATAAATCTTCTGTTGGTTAGGACAGCCAGATTTTTTTAAAAAAATTGAATTTGGAGTTTTGATCGAATTTGATCTTGCTGCTGGCTCTGCCCTTATTTGTCACTGCATTAATTTTCTTTTTTGTGATTTTTTCGATTCTGGAATTTGCTTGATCTGTGATGCTGAGTGTTTGTCTTCATCATTTCTGTGCTTCATTTATTTTTATTATAAAACAGTGAATTCATTCTTCTGTTTGGTTCTTCTCAACTTTTGTATTTCAGGGTCAGGGTGAGATTACTACTAGTGTGTGAGAGATCAGGTTTTTATTGCTGTTATGAAATACTGATGCTTAATAGTATTAATGTTCTTGTTTTCTTTTGCCTTTTCGAGTTTTCGTGTATAATATCGAAAGTTATCTAATAGCTGTGTTACATGCTGTTCCTTCTTTTAGTTTCTTAAAAGGAAGCATTGATTGAGTTATGAGATAGTAAGACAGAATGATGATTTATGGATTGGATAGATATGTAATCACACTATGTAGTTTGTTACTCCAGTCTCAAAGCTTTGTGATGCAATGCTGTTAATTCTCTTTCAGGCAGTAGAAAATGGCAGATGGTGAGGATATTCAGCCCCTTGTCTGTGATAATGGAACAGGAATGGTTAAGGTACTATATTAGGTTCTTTGTCATTTTATCTGCCTATTCAGTTATAGTTTTATGATTACAAAATTGATTTGTAGGCTGGATATGCTGGAGATGATGCTCCAAGGGCTGTGTTTCCTAGCATTGTTGGTCACCCTCGCCACACTGGAGTGATGGTTGGCATGGGACAGAAGGATGCTTATGTTGGGGATGAGGCACAGTCTAAGCGTGGTATCTTGACTCTGAAGTACCCAATTGAGCATGGCATTGTCAACAATTGGGATGACATGGAGAAAATCTGGCATCATACCTTCTATAATGAACTTCGTGTCACTCCAGAAGAGCATCCGATACTCCTCACAGAAGCACCTCTCAACCCAAAGGCTAACCGTGAAAAAATGACACAAATCATGTTTGAAACCTTTAATGCACCAGCTATGTATGTTGCCATTCAAGCTGTTCTTTCCCTTTACACTAGTGGTCGTACAACTGGTAAGTGACTTGACTAGTTGTCTTTATGTAATCAATAACAACTATTTTCCATGTAGTAATACTTCAGTAACTTATTTTGGATTCTCCAAGGGAAAGTTATATGATTTATGATAAATAATGATTTTAATGTTAACAGGTCTCAAATTAGGAACGTCCCTTCTCTATCTTGGCTGTATTCTTCTCTGATGGTTTTACCAATAGGTGTTTGTTACTGATCAAGCGAAGAGATGCAGAAGAGGTGAAGACAATTTATAGTTATTTAAAAATGGTGGTTGTGCTTAGCTAGTGCAGAGGAGATAGGCAAATTAAAAACAGTGCTCGTTGTATAATAGGTGCCTGGATAATTTTCTTGTTATGCAGGTATTGTGCTTGACTCTGGAGATGGTGTCAGCCATACAGTCCCCATTTATGAAGGGTATGCTCTTCCACATGCTATCTTGCGTCTTGACCTTGCTGGTCGTGATCTCACTGATCACTTGATGAAGATTTTGACTGAGCGTGGTTATTTATTCACCACAACAGCTGGACGTGAAATTGTGAGAGACATGAAGGAGAAATTGGCCTACATTGCCCTTGACTATGAACAAGAACTAGAAATTGCCAAGACCAGCTCTTCCGTCTAAAAGGCTTATGAGTTGCCCGATGGACAGGTGATCACCATTGGGGCTGAGCGTTTCCGAGGCCCTGAAGTGCTCTTCCAGCCATCTATGATAGGGATGGAAGCTGCTGGCATACATGAAACAACATATAACTCCATAATGAAGTGTGATGTTGATATCAGAAAGGATTTGTACGGCAATATAGTTCTCAGTGGTGGTTCCACCATGTTCGCTGGTATTGCTGATAGAATGAGCAAAGAGATCAGCGCATTAGCTCCCAGCAGCACGAAGATCAAGGTGATTGCTCCACCTGAGAGGAAGTACAGTGTGTGGATTGGAGGTTCCATCTTGGCATCACTAAGTACATTCCAACAGGTCTGCTTATCAAGCATTTATTTTCTAACTATTCTCATTTCTAAGTGCTTTACATGACAGTTTCTAACATACCCAACTTTGCCATGAATACAGATGTGGATTTCCAAATCCGAATATGATGAGTCTGGTCCTTCGATTGTGCACAGGAAATGCTTCTGAGCACAAGAAGCAAGGGAAAGATAGACTTAAGTCCTCCTTCCATTTAGGAAGTAAATGCTTCCTCTATTCTCATATCTTGTTCCTTCCATCTGTTTTTCTGCTCCCCATCTCTCTTATCGTCTTGGCAGTGACCTTGCGATTGAGAAGATGGGGGTGAACGTTGGAGTATTTCAGTTCTCTTATCCATTTTCCTTTTGGTAGTGAGGGACAGTTGCCCAGCAAACCTTTGGTGTACTTTTTGTTTCTTGTTATTCTATTTTTCTTTTACTACTGTTTTTCCATTTCTCTGGCACCTGTGTTAGTTGTTAGCCTTAGCCGTCCAATTTGATGAATAAATTAGTCCTCTATAATATGAAATGCAAGTGAGATTGTAAAAGCAGTCGTAATTCTGAATGCTGCCACTCGATCTTGGTTAAACAGGGGAATGAAGCTCTAGGTTAGGGACAAGCAACAATTCACATGGTAATATTGTAATACGTGTTTTTTTATCTAAATATTATCTAAGTATTACATATTTACAAATAAAACCTATAATTATTAATTTTTTTTAATATTAATTATACAATGAGAGGTAATTTTTTTCTTATTTTTTATTTTACTCCACCTGACTTAGATTCTTTTATTTTTAACAAAAAGAGATTATTAACGTTTTTAATCGTTGACTATAATTATGAAGTTTGATTAAATTTATACATAATGAAAATTGAATTTGAGATGTGCTATACCCATTTTTGAGGAATGCTAGCAACAAATTTTTAGGACTCTCCCGCAACAAGAGAAACTAAAATTTCATGATTCATTTCAAGTTCCACCATTGTTAGTTTAACATTATAGTTGGCCTACCATGATCAAAATAAAAATTATGGGGCTTAATCATCTTAAAAGAAGAAAACGTTTAGTACTTAATTGATTATCTGGAGAAACTTGGGGGGGGGGAAGATATGGTTTTTCCATTTCCTTTCCTTGTAAATCCAAGTCGTTGAGTCAGATTCAGCTGTGCCCGCAATTCTGAACGCCGGCCGGACTCGGGAGCTAGTGGAGTATTGCAAAAAATAGTGTTCTCTCCAAAATAGTGCGAAAGCTTGGCTTCATATTTGCATGAAATTTTCGAATTCTGAACAGAGGAAGAGATGGGTAGAAAAGAAGTGGTGGCGATTGTGGGCATCTGGGTAATTCCCATTTCCTTATTGGTGAATCGCATTGTCCCTGATCCTTACATGGTGAGAAAGTTAGAAAAGCACAGACCTTTACTTGAATTTTCTATCTTTTTCTTTTCTTTTCTTGTTTGCTTGCAGTTTTTGTTCTTTAGAATGGTAATTGTTGCTGCAAACGCGTTGCTTGTGATGTGTGCAGGATGAGATATTCCACATACCTCAGGCTCAGCAGTACTGCAACGGGAATTTTAGGAGCTGGGATCCCATGATCACCACCCCACCAGGCTTGTATGCTCTCTCTTTCCCTTGCTGTTTCAATTCCCATGTGTTTTTCTAGATTTTGGGTAGTTGATGAAATTTGGATTCAATTACTGAGCTTTTTTAAATGTTGTCTTGTATAAGATTAAATTTTGGAACTAAGGTTTGGTGGCAGTTATATTAAAAAAATTAATTATGCTGCACAAGGGATTTCATTTTACGTTTCTTGTTGGAGTGCATAGATTTTCAAGATGATTGATTTTCCCTGCGTTTTTGTTTTTTGGGGCTATCCATTGCTTTTGCTGCTTGGTCTTGGGATTTTCACTCCTATATCGGCTCTGGTACGCTTGAGCTTGTGGTGATAAAAGAAATATGTTTCAGTATGAAGTAGTAATGTGGTATCAGCTTTCTGATATCAGGATTGCACTACAGTACCCTTGCGGAGTATTTTGTCAGTCTTTAAAGTAGGTCTCATTATCATCCCTGCAGTTCTTTAGTACCATAGTCTTTACAATTGACTTCCATTAAAGAGTTTATGTTCAAGTTTATAAGAATTGTGTTTGAAAAGGGGAAATGAAAAGTGGTTGGTAGTTGAAAGACCGTTTTATGCATGTCAAAGACAATTTCTACTCATCTCCTTATTTGCCTTGTCCTTTTGATATTATAGTATAATTGAAAATGCTTTTGCAGGTACTATCTTTCACTTGCCTATATTGCTGCTTTATTTCCAGGCATGTTTTTTGTGCAAGCAGTGCCATCATTTGCTGCAGTTTGTTCAACTGCAGCTCTTCGCTCTTCAAATTGTATTTTGGCAGTGTTGTGCAGCATTCTAGCCTATGAGATAATAATTCACTTGAGGCCAGCTCTTGATGATAGAAAAGCTACCCTTTATGCAGTTGTCCTAGCCCTTTACCCTCTCCACTGGTTCTTCTCTTTTCTTTACTATACTGACGTTGCATCACTCACTGCAGTGCTTGCCATGTATCTTGCATGTCTCAACAAGAAATACACGTTTAGTGCATTGGTAAATGAACCACCTCAAATTTCTTTCTCAGATCATTAGTAGAATTTTGTAGATATTAGTTCATTTATCATCCTGGGACATCTTTCATCTTTTCATTTGCATATATAAGAAATTATTTAAGCAATTTCAATGAAAATGACTACTGGTTTCCTGTTTGCATTTGAAGAATAGAGTCTCATGCTAAAAGTTTCTAGTAGTGTCGGTATGCATGGATAAATAACTTGAATAATGCCTTTTCTCCTGTGGTCATGCTGGTTTTTATGTGTTTTCATTTTCTTTGTACAGCTTGGGGCCTCAGCAGTTGTTATTCGACAAACAAACATTGTATGGGTTCTATTTGTTGCATGCTCTGGTATCATTGAGGTTACCCTGCCCCATCAAACTGACAGTGTAAAAGCAGATGATTTAAATGCATCAGTCAAGAGCACTGATCAGATATCCCACAGCAGTAGTGTAAAACAGCGTTTAACCTTGAGGAAAAGAAAGTCCAGTGGTAATGTGGATGCTGATAAATATGTGATTTCCAGGACAAGTGCCTCAGTGATAACCCCAATGTCAGGTTCAGTTGATTTATATTTGGAGTATTCCTGAGCTAATAGTGATGAGCAAAACACTTTTCTTGCTGTTATACGTGATTTGCTTCATGCCACAATCATATATTATCATGGACATGCTATTAATACATCTTTGTGGCATTGTAAAGCAGGTCTGCTTCCTGAGATCCAGGCTATTATTTTAACTTCATGGCACAAAAAGTGGGAGCTTTTGGTCTCCTTTAGCCCATTCCTTTTTGTATTTCTCACCTTTGTTGGCTTCATTCTTTGGAATGGGAGTATAGTTCTGGGTATATTCACCTTATTATACTTTTCATTTCCCTCAATTATCCCCATTCCCCACCCACCCCTGTTTGTCTATTTTTGCTAACCTTACCTTCAAATGTTTTAGGTGCAAAAGAAGCTCATACAGTTTCTCCACATTTTGCTCAAGTAATGTATTTCAGTTTAGTTTCTGCTCTTTTTATGCTTCCCCTGCTCTTCACAACAAGCCAACCCATGGATCTGCTTCGGTCGTTCTGGAAGAAGAAGCTTTTCAGTTTTTTCCTGGGGTTCCTCGCTTTTACTGCTGCCTTCATCTCTGTGCATTTTTTCAGGTCAGTAAGCCAATGCGCCAATATGTCTCATATTTTGAAACTCCTTACCATTTCATCACACGGTTGATTGATTGTTGCAGCATTGCTCATCCATACCTTCTAGCTGACAATCGACATTATACCTTCTATCTCTGGAGGAAGATCATTAAAGCTCATTGGTCAATGAAGTACCTTTTAGTGCCACTTTATGTTTATTCATGGTTCTCAATCATCCACAGATTGGGTTAGTCCACATCTCACCCATCTTTTACTATATCTTGCCATTTCCTGATCTCACTGATGCTACTCTAATTTCTTCAATTGGTAGGGAAATATCAAAGGAAGATCTGGATATTGATCTATATCCTGGCTACTGCCGCTGTTCTTGTTCCTGCTCCCCTCATTGAGTTCAGATACTACACCATACCTTTCTTTTTCTTGATGCTGCACTCCCATGTTGATAGCTATCTAAGTTTACTCCTCTTAGGGATTCTATACACAGTCCTTAATGTCTTCACAATGTGCATGTTCTTGTACCGGCCATTTCATTGGGACCATGAGCCTGGGGTCCAGAGATTTATATGGTAGATGGTTAAGCTGTAACTTTCATGTTAACTCACAGTTTTGCTGATGTTATTTTCCGATTTAGGATACTGAGAGCCTGAAACAGAAACTCCAATGTATAAATGCTCAATTCTTCACTGGATCATCTCAAACTAACTTGTGTTTTAGTTTTGATTTGTATTATAACTTAGACATTGTAAAGTCATTCACCTTCGGTTCAAATCTAATATATTAGGAGAAATAATTTTTAAGAATATTTTAGCTCCTGGAATTGATAATATATATATTTTTAAATCTCTAAATTGATTTTAGTAGAGGGCCTCACCTTAAATTAAAAAAATGATAATAATTAATTAATTAATAAGAATCGGAAAGACCCCAACAACGATGCACTCTGGCTAATGGTACTGTTTCATTCAGAAATCACTTTCATTCTTTTGATAAACTATTTGGCAAGTTGGGTGAGCAGCTCAGCTCAATGTAGTTGAGTGCTCCGATTTAGAGTTTCTAACGTTGACGCCGGGATTGACCTCTGCAATGGTGAATCATAGACTTAGCCTTCGCGCCTTCCTTTGGCGGAGAGCGTGTGCCAAGAGGGACTGGGCAATCGTCGCCGTTTGTGTCGCCCTCCTCCTCTTCGCTCTCACCTTCGTCTTCGATGATGGAGCCATTAGCACGGACCTCACCTCCGCCGACGATCTGGTTCCCTTGACCTTGCTGCGGAACGCCAAATCTACAGGCGCTTGTATGCTTCCCGATCTACTGTACATCGAAATTCAATCCATCCTTCAATTTTCTTTTTCAATTAATTTTCTATGCAGTTTGCTTGGACGGAAGTTTGCCTGCGTATCATTTTCAGAAGGGTTTTGGATCCGGCGCCGACAATTGGCTTCTCCACATTGAGGTTATTTTAAAGCTACACTCTTTTAGCTGAATTTCTCCTCTCTTTTTTGTTTTTTTTCTCTTGTTGGGTCTTTGAAATTTTTGGACTTTAGGGAGGAGGGTGGTGCAACACAATAGAAAAATGTTCCTATCGAAAAACAACAGCATTGGGTTCTTCAGATCATATGGAACGCTTTGTTAAATTTGCTGGTATTTTGAGCCGTGACCCATCTCAAAATCCTGGTATAGCATTTTAAGATGATTAGCTTTTCTTTACCTTCTAAATTTAGTCAATAGTTTCCCTCTGCTTTTGAAGTTTGTTTATCTTGTTAAGGGAAATAATCTGTTTGTGGTGACTGAAAATTTTTCAGATTTCTTTAACTGGAACAAAGTGAAAATTCGTTACTGTGATGGTGCTTCTTTAGCGGGCCACCCAGAAAGTGAGCTCAAAGTAAGTTTAGTTATGTGGGAGTTATTTCCACTGAAATATCTTGGTTTCGATCTAATCATAATAAGATAAGAAGTTATATGTTTGTATTTATGTTTTAGAATGGAACAAGGCTATTTTTTAGAGGCCAGCTAATTTGGGAGGCAGTTATGAATGAACTCTTGTCACTCGGCTTGTCTAAAGCAAAACAGGTAACTCAGTAGTTTTCTTGATAGGCAGATAGGGTAGTTATTATTTTTATTTAAAGTTAAAATGTTAAATGATATGTCCACTACTAGTTTTTTCGCTTGTTGTGCTTTAATAATTTTATCTAATCATGCAGGCACTTCTTTCTGGATGCTCTGCTGGAGGGTTGGCAACGCTCATACATTGCGATGACTTTCGAGATTTTCTGCCGAATAGTGCAACTGTCAAGTGTCTTGCTGATGCAGGTTTTTTCCTTGATGAGTATGTTTTCTGTTCTCATATTTAAGCCATCTGAATGATATATGAATTGAATGTAAAGTTATCAAGTTATGTCTACCCACTTATATGCCTTTTGTCTCTTCTTCTTTTATCCATTAAATAATATAGTCATCTACCTTTAAGGAGTATCTATTATATGCTTGGTAGTAATTTCTTCTTGCAAAATGCAACAAGTGAGTTCAGAATATACCCATGTGAATTTATCAACTACTGCTTCCTTTATTTATGTGATAGGATAGAAGTTAATGTGTCTTTTAGGAGTTTGGTAGGCTTCACATATTAAAAATTCTACCTTCTTTTCATTTCAGGCTGGATGTTCTTGGAAATCACACCATACAATCTTTCTATCATGATGTTGTCTCCCTTCAGGTTTTGCTTCAATCTTCATTGATCATGATTGTATATGATATATCATTTGCTTTTGTTTTGAACTTCTTTTAGCTGGCCAAAAGGTTCAATGACCATCCCCCACTGTCCTATTTGTGCTTCATGCTATGTCTTGCATGTAAGTCATCTCAGGGTGTCTCAAAAAGTTTGCCCAAGGATTGTGTTGATATAATGGAATCATCCAAGGCAAGTTTTTTATTTCATTTTTTCTTTAATTCATCTTTTGTGCTTTTTTCTTCGTTCTTTTTATCTGTGATGTCTTCCCCCTCACCCCCATTTTTTTTTTTTTTTTTTACATTTGTAATGTCACATATTTAATTGTGATGTAATTTCTCTTTGCTACTTGAGTTGAATTTATAACTCTACCTGCTATAATCAGTTCTGAATTGCAATTGCAGTGTTTCTTTCCTCAAGAAATTATTAAAAATGTCAAAACCCCCTTATTCATTGTCAACCCAGCTTATGACTTTTGGCAGGTAACTTTTCCTCACCGTAGTCTACCTGAAGTTACATTGTGTGTTGATTGTTATTCTTCTATATATTATTACTTTCTAATGCTAATTAGATTACCTTCAGATACAAAACATATTAGTGCCTGATGCATCAGTTTCTGATGGCTACTGGAAGAGATGCAGACTGAATATTCATAATTGTAATCCAAACCAGATTGAAATACTACAAGGTAGTTTGATGGATACTCTTCTTCAATAGTTTTTGCCTGATGATTCAAATTAAATTTAAGGACTTGGAGTTGTGTGCTGCATTGTCCATCATTGACTGTCAAGTCTGCAGCACCTGTCTCAATTATTTTGTTGGCACTTAACTAAGGTTCATGCAACATTCTAATCATATATATCATGTGAACCATTTGACAGATATTTGCCGCTTAGAGATATAATCAGCAAGATTATTGTGTTCATCATCTTATCATATTTATTAAACTACTACAAGGAAATACTCTCTTGAAACCAAAGTGGTTTCAAACTCTTAAGATTGCTCTTTGGTCTGATTTGGCCATTCTATTATACAGTTCATATATTAAAAGCTTGATCTTCCTGTCTATTTCTGATATGCAGGTTTCCGTGGGTCGCTGCTAAAGGCACTGGGTGAATTCCAGCAGACCAAGGATGGTGGCATGTTCATAAATTCTTGTTTTATTCATTGCCAAACATTGGTGGCTGACACATGGCATTCCCTTAGTTCCCCAAGGATCAACAATAAGGTAATGAAATTTTCCGCTTTTTTGGAACTTAAATGATAGTTTTTAGCTCATTTCATAGAGTTTGTCAGCCCTTTCTTTCAACTTGATAGACCTGAATAAAAGAGTTCTCTGCTTATTTCATTTCTTCTGTTTTTTTTTTTTTTTGGCCAACAAACACAGGTTAGTTCATCTGACTCTGGCATATAAACATACATTAATTTTGTATCACCATGATCTGAACTTTACTGTTTAATTTACACTCACTGCATCCATGGACTATGAGGCACAAACATTAATTGTTTACTTGTCCATCATGTGATTGTTTGACGGAAGCTTGCGAAGATATTTACATCTTGTTTGGATTTCCATTACTCACAGCAATGTTTACTGGCATTATTCTTTTTCAAACAGACCATTGCTGAGTCCGTAGGTGATTGGTACTTCAACAGGAAAGTGACAAAGCTAATTGATTGCCCTTACCCATGCAATCCCACTTGCTATAACATGGACTTCAGTCAAAGTTTATGAAGCTACCTACAGAGATGGTTTCCTTCATATGGTTTATTCAGCTCAACTTCTCCTCTTCTGAAATAGCCTGGTGGATTGTGCATGGATATGTACTCTGAAATCTAAATGTTCTGCTCTCGCTCTTCCTCGTGTACCCGAAACAGAACTCGTTATTGTTCCTTGTAAAGGCGATATTTTTTAATAGAGATAATGAAGTTTACCCCAACTCAAGTTTTTAATTGTTAAAAGGTCAAAGCCCCTATTTGCACCCTCAAATTATTTGTTTTTCGTGGTCAACACCTTTCAAAATTTTTCCTCCCTATTCACACCTTCTACTTTTCAAAACCCGTGAAAAACTCAATATTTTAATGGGTCGTCACGGCACCGTTAAAAAATATATTACGTGGCACTCAAAAATTGACGTGGCACTATGTAACGTTAATAATCCAACGTGGATCTTTTTTTTTTTTATGATGTGGACGCCACGTATACAGTAAAAATAATAAAAAATTATAATATTATCAAACAATTACATAAATAGTATTTTTTCATTTTTTTTCTTTCCCCCTTCATCCTCGGCATCATCTTCACCATCCTCCATCTTCACCCTCCTCTTCTCAATGGGTTCCTCGCAGGGAACCCAGTTCTGGGCTCCTGCGCGGAACCCAGTTCTGGGCTGGGTTCTTGCGCAGGAACCAGATCCAACCTTTTTTTTTATTTTTTTTATTTTAAATGTATTTATCTTAACTTCCGATTTCATGCAAAGTAATTTGGAATAATTTTTTTGTTGGAAATGTGAGTTTTTTTGCTTGGAGATTGTTTCTGAATAGGTTGCCAATTTTTTTTGTTGGAAAGGTGAGTTTTTTTGCTTGGAGATTGTTTCTGAATAGATTATCAATTTGAGTTTTTTTCGTTTTTTGTGAGAAAGGAGTAGAAGATGCTTATCATGTTTTTGTGCAGATTATTAAGTTCCACTCAGAACTCAGAACCTGGGTTTCGCGAGGAACCTAGGGGGATGAGGACGAGGATGGTGAAGATGATGCCAGGAAAGAAGAAAATGAAGAAATTAAAATTAATGATGATTTAATTATAACACATAAAAAAAAAGTTCAACATTGGATTAATAAATGTGACATAAAGTTCTGGGTTCCTGGTTCCATGAGGAACCCAGGAGGATGAAGAGGAAGATGGTAAAGATGATGCGGAAAAAATAAAAATGAAAAAATTAAAATTAATTATGATTTAATTATACCATATCATCAAAAAAGAAGTCCATATTGGATTATGTTACTGTTTAATGCCACGTATTACAATTTTTAACGGTTATTAACGGTGCCGTGACGGCCCGTTAAAATATTGGGTTTTTCACGGGTTTTGAAAAGTGGAGGGTATGAATAGGGAGGAAAAATTCTAGAAGATGTTGACCACGGAAAACAAATAAATGGAGGGTGCAAATAGGGATTTGGCCTTGTTAAAACATGTAGCTTGCATTCTCAGCCACTCCTTATTCCTTTTCTCGGCCTGCAGGTCAATGAATATGAAGTTGGCCCCCATTCTTGATTGAAACTAGAATAGGTTGACTTCCGAGGTTTTCAAAATGAACTTCCCTTAAAATGAGTTTGTTTCTGGAAAATGTCGGGACAATTGAGAATAAGACCCTGTTTGTCTGTACCTTCACAGAAAAAAAGAATGAAGGAAGGTCAGTCCCCTATTCAACCTTGTCTTGGAAAAATAGCTTTCTTCTGGAATCATGGATTGTTGTTTTTCAAAATCAGAGTCAACGAAGATATCCTTAGATTTCCAAAGTCATGGGAGCTGTTTTTAGCAGGTTGATACTACCAAATTTCCTAACAGCCTTGCAGACTTCAAATTAACATCCATTCTGTTTCCAACAACAAAGCCCTAGACAATGACAGCTTAAAACCCAACAAACTAAGAAACCATGGTTGCTTTGAATATAAATTGTTGTGTCACGAGGTGACCTAAACCACCATCAACCATCCAAAAATCAACCTAGATGATGCGACTGAACCTAAGCATCCGTGTATTCAAATTCTTTAATTCTTAAACCTATCAGCCTTTCTTTATTTCAATCCCCAAACATCGAGTAAACCCCAGGCTACACAAGAAATCATCAACTTTTTTTTTTATTAATTTTTTGGTATCTGATAATCATATTAAATTTTAATTAATTTAGAATCGAACCGTATCCAACTCCATAAAAGAAAGCTTTCCTAACACTTTTTTTTTTATTTAGACTTTTGAACTCAAAACATTAATTAAAAAAAATCAAATTTTTTCCATTCAAACTAACAGATTTGCCATCAAAAAATCATAAACTTTAATACAGGATTTCAGTCCGTCCTTCATACCTCGAGAAGTCCAATCCTTTGACAATTAAACAATGTCTTAATATTGATTGGAACTCAAAATTCTAACTTAGTAATTTAAATTTTGAATATTAAGACATGACATTTGATACGATTCGAATTTTGTTACGATCATCACTTTCTAGAAGATATTTTAAACTTAGAACAGCACTCATCCAGTCATCCATAGGGGGTATTTATATATAAAATACTTAACATGGCTAACTATGCAATGACGCACTTGGCAATGGTCAGACATGTTCAGTGGAGACTCCACTTCAGAAACCCTTAAACTAATCCATGGATGATAAATAATGGAACCTAGTCGCTAGGGTTTCTGTTTCAGATAAGAAGATTACAATGGAAAAAGCCTGGTGGATGTAGAAAATGACAGAAAAGTAGGTTGAAGAGGTTTCTAATATATGCTAGATTTGGTATGAAAGTAGATGCAAAGATGACTTCATTGTTTTTCTTTCCTAATAAACAAATTGTACGCCGTTAGTTCCCAATATGAAAATTTTGAATATTCCATCTACCAATTTTCATGTTAAACAACACTGAGATTCTTAAGTTGTCAAATTTTCTCTTCACATTGAAATTCTCAAATGGAACTTTTGTGCTTTAGAGTTTGAATGAATGTTTTAAGTGAATATGTAATCGTTGTAAATTAAGAATTTATTTTTGATGTATAAAAAAAAATCCAAGAAAAGAAAGGGGAAACATTTATAAAACTTCTCATCCAGAGTTTACCCATGAAATTATGGCATGTATATGAGAAATTAATTATGAAAAATTGAAAGAAAAAAAAAACTTTTTTTTTCTAGATTTTTTTGTTTTTTTTGTTTTTTACTGGATTGTACATTGTCTATACAGATGATCGCCAAATTCTTCCTTCTAAAGAAATAATGATGACAGAAACGTCGTCATGGTACCGCCGGCGATCTCCTTGCGGGATATCAAGCAACTCATGGAAGTCTATACCTGCCGAGAAAAGACTTCATTAGATTTCAGTTTTTTTATTTTTTTTCTTCTTTAAACCGGTGATTATGGTTCTCCAATTTGTGCATAAGTTCGGAGGCATTACCCGCTTTCTTAGCTGCTCGGAAAAGTACTTCTTCAATCAAGTGTTGGGCAGGATCCCCTTCGGGAAAGGAAGCAAGAAAGAACTCAACTTCAGCCACCACTTCCTCACTGGTGAAGTACTGGTAGAGTCCGTCGGAAGAGAGGATCAAGTATCTGTCTTTAGTGCTTAATTTGTAATGATAGAGTGATGGAAAGCAAGTAATGTATGGAGATTTTCCGACGTAATTGATCCTGAACATCTCTAACACTGCATCATTCAACTCTGGCTGCCCAAAAACAGGGGAACTTTGGTAAAAACAGGGGAATAAGTCATAAACAGGACATTTAGCAATCTTGATTTTCAGGAACTTCCGATGTTCAAATTAAGGTCGGAAATCAAGAATACCTGTTTGAGAAAACCTGCCCCGAATGCCCGAGTTACCTTCAGATAACCTTTGACTCTGTCATTCACTACGGCAGAATCATCGTCTGGATGTTCTTTTCTAATTCTCTCCACTTCCTGAATTTGAAAAATAAACATCCCAAATTTAGTTAATCTCAAACAAGAGTACTCTTTAGTTACAGAGAATTTAAGATAAGATCGTAAGAAAATCACCTCTTCTGTGTAAGTGCTGTGATCCGTAGTCAGCTGGAGGGATGTCAGGTTGGGAAACAGCTCCATCGGGTGCAGAGCTTTGGCCTCGGCTTTCCGTGCCAGGACGGCTCGACTGTCTCCAACGTTCATTAGGTACACATCGTCTCCTTTCATTACAGTCACCAGAACACATGAACCCATCAAAGCCAGCTCTGGGTTCTCCTTCACCATCGCCAAGTATGCCTCCTCTGTTTTCCCTAGTGCCTCTGAAAGCGCCCTCAGAACGTCGGAATGGTTGACACTTTCTCCTGAATTTGATTCCTTATACCATTCCCACCTCCATCTCTTCACGTTCTTTCCATGGTTTCTCTTCCATGTTGGTTTTGAATCCAAAACCCCATTTCCCAATGGACAGTTTTCTTTATTGGAATCTAAAACGACGTTTGATTCAAAATTGTTCTTCCATAACAACCCCTCAAGCTCGCGGTGGACCGCATTATAAAGATTGCTAACCAGATGATCAGGCGCGTCGGGGCCGTTGAATCCGTCGTAAATCCCAACAAAAGCCCATCCATCTTCCTCAGAAACCACGATATGGGTCCGATCCTCCCCTGCCTTCCCTTGTGCCCATTGCAGATTCTGACTCTTAACAAAAAAATCACCGTCATCAACATTTTTATCAACGCCGGGAAGATCATTATCGTCGTCGTTCAAGCTTCCGGTGCTACTCAGATCGATATCATCGTTGTCTGAAACAAAACCTTTAATCTTGTTTGATATTGCCCTCTTGAAACTCTTGATTAAAGTTAAACTCTTTCTCAGAGGTTTAACATCGGCGATATCTGAACTACTCTGAGACAAGCTCCTCTGCAACTTCTCCTCCTCTTTCTCCAATGTACCCGAAAACAGGGGACCCGATAAGAAGCCGCGCTCAATGGGACCTGACATGAATCCACGCTCAATCGGACCAGATCGCGGCAGAGTCCCCGACTCAGAGCGAGGGACCGGCTGCAGGGGAAGAGAAGCGAAGCAATCAGTGCCCTCGAACGTGGCACTTTGCGGGTAGTAATCCGTGAGGACACCTGACGGAGCTGTTGAAACATTGGCGCTGACGGACGCGCCGGAGATGACACCAAACGTCACGGTTTTGGAAATTACCGCGGAGCGGGAGACGGAGTCGTTAAGTGAGTACACTTTGGAAGATGATAGACGAATCGGAGCCGGCTCCGGTCTAATGTAGCAGAAAGAGTGTCCCAAGTCCTCATAGAGCGCGTCCTCCACAATCCACTCATGCCGCCGGGAAATTTCTCCGGTGACACCACAGCACCGACCCATTTTCCCAATTCGATTACCCATTGAAAAAAAACAAGCAAACAAACCAACCAACCAACCAAACAAATCTAAAGCTCCAACCCCTTAAATCAGATTATATTCTCAATTTCTCGTCCAATATAAACTGGTTTTTTCTTAGTACGGATTTAAGAAAAGCACAGAGGAGTTGACTTTTGCGATGTCCATTGGTTTTGTTTGCGGTAAGTGCTGATGTTAAAAAAAATGGCAAATTGAATTGTGGAATATTAAATTAATCATTTAAAAGAGTTGACCGCGGGATTTTGTTGGGCGAGAATTGTAAATAAACGAGGGAAATTAAAAAAGTCAAAGGCTATAACATGCTACTTGGGATTAATTAATGAATTTTTATGTCAAACGTGATTGAGTATAGGTTAATAATGTATTAGTCATATTTTTTTAAATAAATTAATTCTAATGTGATGGTTCAACAAACTTTTAATTTGAAGTTTTAAATTGAAATTTCATATTAAAAATCTCAACTTCAAGTTTTGAATAGGTTGGGATTCGGGAGAGATTTAGGAATATAAAAATGTTATTTTTTTTTGTATAATTTTATAATCAAATGTATCAAAAAATATTTTTTTAAAATAAATTTTTATAAAAAAATATAAAAATATAAATTCTTTTTAATATTAATATTATGTGAATGATTTTCATTAAAAAAATTAATAAATTTAAAGTTAATTTCTGTTTTTTATACAAATTAAACTTAAAACTTAAAAATGTGTAATTGATACTACTTTAGAAAAACCTTTAATTAAAAACAAATTGAAGAACCCAAACTGCAATGGTAGTCTTGAAAGGGAGAGCAAGATTCAAGTCTTTGACCATGTAAAAAAAAAATAATTTTTCTCAATGCATCTGCCTTTTTTTTTTTTTTAATGCATTGAGCTAAATTGAGAAGTGTGCCTTTCATTATATTTTTAATGTATTAAGTTGATGTGGCATTAAATTTTTAAGATTACTTAGAAAATAATTAATTTTAAAATTTGTGCAGGTAAAATGTGACCTGAAACACACTTATCCTTTTAAAACAAAATTAAGTGCAAATCATTTTTTAGAGGATATTTGGTTTTTAAAAAATGAAAGAAATGAGAGAGGAAAGATATATTTTTAGTTAATCAAACTATAACATTAAAAAATGATGCAATCTAATGAATTAAAACACTCATCTCTTCCCTCCTCTCTTCTCAATTTTCCTACATACACTCAATATTTACTTAATCATCATAACTGACTGTTTGGGTAGCTTTCACGAGCCCATACTACAGAACTTACATTGTAGAAACTTTTAGCTACTTCAACATTTGAAAATCTCGAGGATATCTCTTCAGGGAAAATACTTCGACACTCAAGTTAGCAATACTCAATATTTTAGAGAGAGAAGCGTAATAAAGTTAACACATTGAATAAAAGTAGGTGAGAGTATATATAGCTCCCTGGTGTTGGCATGAATCCATACATGTAATCATCCGATTGGTCCATGTAACAGTACCCACGTGGGTGTGTCTGGACTATGTTTGGACTGTTGTATGGATGTATATTCATTTTGGGGTCCAGGTATAAGTGATTGGGCCTATTATATACGGCTCAGGCTGAATGTTGGGCTTATTCCAAATACTGGCTTATCATTTATGTGATCTTTAGTGCCTTCCCTTCTTTTATTTCCCTTTTTCCTTTAAAGATAAATTTTGCCATTACTAGCAGGATTGGAAACATTTTTTGGGTATGCAAGCTGGAATGGAAAAGCTTGCCCTTGTGAGCGGGCCATGGATTGATGTATTCTTATCTGGCCCATTTAAGAGAAACATACTGTTCCATTCCCAAGTCCGTATTTTTGCCTGAACCACGTTCGTCCAAGGTTGTGGTTGGTCTAGTGCCTTCCTTAGCTCCTTATCATCTCCCATGCAGATTACAGTAGATTAAGAAGGATACGTTAGAGTTAAGGGCTAACATGTGAGGTGAAGTTAAATTAAGAGCTAAATAAAGATTTCATATCGAAAGAAAGCAAGTTGAAATGATGCAATATATATAGATATAGGAAAGTAAACTTGATAAGTGCGTTTTTTAAGTTTAAGATGATATTTTTTCATATGTGCGCATGTGTATTCCTAAAATAAGTTGGTTGATTTTCCAACAAAATGTGCCAAAAAATATGTAAAAAAAAAAAATTAGTCTGCGTATCGAAAAGATTTGGGATTTGAAAGGGGGAAATTGAAAAGAATGTTTCAACTTGGTGAGTTGGATTTTTGGGTCGTTATGTACTTATTATTATTTTTTGAATTGGAACAATTGGGGATGAGAAATGTAACTGTCAGGGTTTACTATTGTTTAAACTCTGGCTTGGTGACTCCACATTGCTGACGAGAAGTGTGGCGATTAGTCCATATTGTCGTGGAACTTTTATTGATCGTAAGACGACCCTAATCTTTATCTGGGAACTCCTCCTAGTGATACTGAACCACTATAGCAGTGGGATTGGGGTTTTCGCGTTGATGATGGAAGCCATTATACTGCAGTTGATTCTTTCTCTAAATAAGGGGAAAAAATCCAGAAGAACTAAAAGGCCCGTCTAGCTCAGTCGGTAGAGCGCAAGGCTCTTAACCTTGTGGTCGTGGGTTCGAGCCCCACGGTGGGCGTGTTTTTCCTTTTTTTTTTTTTTTTTTTTTTCCCCTCCTTTGTTGGTCGCTTTTAGGGGAAAATGTTTGGACTTGGTTGTTGGCCCGTCATAACTCAAAAAATTATTCCAAAATCCACGGCAAATGGACCAACTTCATTTCGGACCCACCAACAAAACCAGTGCTGGGTGGACCCGCTTTGCAACTTGTTTTCTAACCCCTTTTTCTTTTGATTAGACCCATCAAAGCACGGACCAGTCTCCACCCCCCGACCCAAGGCCCACATGCCACATGGAGTTAGTCTGACACGCACGATTTCCAACCATAAACCATCCACTGATCCACGTGAAAAGGAACGGAGGAGGGAAAAAAGTATGAATTTAGAACTGTTTAGTGAAATTTATTGGAGTTTTTATTGTTTATAAATGATATATTTAAATTTTTATTAAAAATAAAATTTAAAAGTTATTTTTAAAGATAAAAAAAGTGAGTAAAAAAAAATGAAAAATTTGAATTTAAAATTTTTAATCTTTTACTATTTAAAATCTTTTTAAAATTAAAAAAATATTTAAAAATATAAATTAAAAAAAAATTAATTTATAAAATATAATTAGTATAAAAAAACTGAACTACTTGGAACTGCACCAAACTGCAGCTATACAAAAGTGTTTGTCTAATTCTAAAGTCACATATTTGTCTAATTCTAAAATCAGGTATTAATAATGCATTAATTATATTTTTTAATATATAATTTTTATAAAAAAATTAGAATAGTTATTTTTTTATCACAAATTTTTTTATATGCATATTTTTAATTGAATT